GAACCATCGGCTCACATTTGTTACCCCTGCTGTGCCATTGGGTCTGCACAGCCTTAACGGGGGAGGAGTGAGCCAGAGAGTGTAGATGTGCTTGCAGTAGCAGTGTGTGTCCAGAGAGAGGGTGTAGATTTGTGTCTGAATGGTATTTCCCTGTGGAAACTGATAGGGCAGGGACTCTGAACCCCAAACTGGAGTTGTGACTAGGCGTGTAGAAAAGATAACATGGCTTCTCATAGTAGCTGAGAGAGGAGGTGTCCCCGGCGTGGGCTCACTAATGGGGCTGTTTGTGGTAGGCAATCTCCATTGCTTGGTGCCACTTGCACCTCACATGTGTAGGGAATACAAGGAGACAGTCTCTTAAGAATTTGGAATAAAGTTACCCATTGGGAATGGCAGTATAAAATCAGCCTGTACTGAATCAGAGCCGAGATAGACAGTCGCTTGGAAGAGAGATTGGTATCCATGTCTGTAGGATTTCAGAGTAACATAATGGAATGCCCTGACTATGTAAAAGGAACATAGGGGCTCAGTGGGAGTTTGGTGAGCCAGGACAGCCCAGGAGAGGGGAGGTCCTGGCCACTGTCTCGGATGTTCTGGGCCAACCCACAGAGCCTGACACCATGGCACTTTTAAGTTGTATCCCTAACCTTGTGTTCTGATCCATACTCTGTAAAACTTTCTAATCTTCTGTCCTCCTGTGGGGATTATTTACAGAAAGAAAATGCAGTGAAATCGGGTTGGTCAGGCAGACAGTTCTAACTCTCAGTTTGAATTCAATAAAATGCCACTCTGAGATATATATCTCAGGTTCATTAAGCATTGAACCAATAGTGCACAGGCTGAGAAACTTTGCTCTCCCAGATGTTTTAGGCCTGAATTCTTACCCCTCTGAAAGCCACCCACCACCAGCTTCTGCACTAGGCACCCAGGCTTGGCTGGGATGCAGGGTAGCGTCTCTCATGGCCAGCGGACCTCTGATGGGCCACTGTTCTGATTCATTTCTGATCTGTCTCTCAGAGATGTGCTGAGAAGTAATTCATGTTTTAGTGGCCAGTGTTCTGTACCTAAAATGATGTCCAGAGATTCACCCATCCATTTGTGTTTCAGACTCAGCATCTGGCTGGCACTAGAGAACCCAGAACCTGGTCTGGAATAGCCATGAGGAGCCTCACTTAGAGGTGGGCTCTCTTGAACAAATTAAATATGCCACTTATTGGAAAGGTACCATATGCAAGGCATTGTACCAGGTCCTAGGGAAAGGTTGGTTGTGATGTGAAGAATACTAGTTCCTGTCTTCCAGAATTTTCTCTGCAGTGAGATGAAAGCTTGATCTTTCACATTTGTTTTAAGGAGTTAGGCTGACATTGGTTTTCTCTTTACACATGCACACAAACACACTCCCTCAAACAGTTGTTATGCAAACCAGCTGATTAACTGGCCTGCTGTTGCTTTACTACATTGATTTTAGAAGTAATTGAGCTATTCAGATTCCTGAATACTCTGATAGAGAATTATTCTTACATTTTATAATAACAACTGTACAGATGAAAATATGAAAAGACATTCTGCAATGGATAAGCATTCTGGGTTAATTTCAGTGCATTAGCCTAATATACAAATACCCCATTTCTGGCAAGAAAACCCAGGATGTTCATTCACTGGGTAATATCTTTTCATATTTTGCTTACAGATGTTCAGAACAATTCCATGTTTATTAGTCTATTCAAAAGCTTTTAGAAATCTGCACAGCCAAGTGGCACTGATACCAGAAGCATGAAAGGCGCTGCACAACTTTTCCTCGTCAGTAAGATCTACACAAGCACCATGGGAAATCTGAGGCCCAGACACTTGTTTATCAACAGAATAGTCCGGTGAATTTTCAGGCCGGCTGTTCAGCAGAGGTCCCGAGGAGGAGCCCAGGTGTGGGAAGAGCGGAGTATGGAAGTCCTCGTGTGACTCTCCAGGGTGGGGATACAACCAACTACATGGTCTGCAAAACCTAAATTATTTCCTGTTGGGAGCTTACGTGTCATGCCCTGAGCCCGTTTCCTCTCTTGTGAAATGGAGCAGTGCTGCTTTGTGAAGCCAGTCGAGTTGTGGTCGGATTCTTATTTGAAAATAAAATTGTTTCAAATCTGAGTATTCTGTAAAATCTAGGATATACACTTTCTGCTGCCCTAGCTTTTGGGCACGTTAAAGATGAACACCATGGATTGTGAAGCATAGCTTGGCAGGGCCTGGGCCAGCCTGAGCAAGTGTGCCTGGCACAGCACGCGGAACCTGTTCTCTTCTTCGTCTGTGTTCTTAGGAGGTGAGGTCATGTCACCCGCTTTTCCAAATGCATGTGATTATTTCCTTCATGCTTGAGAGCTCTAACTAAGCATGGAATAGTAATTTCCCCACTAATGTAAAACAAGTCAGTGTACTTTTTTTTTTTTTAAGTTCGACTTAATTTCTGAAGTGTTTGGGTGGAAGCTCATGTCTCTGTATCTTACATGAGATGAATGATCCCATTCTTCTTCAAAGTAGGGATGATTTCTGTTATTAGCAGATTTTATCAAGCAATGTAAAACTCATTCTAAATTCCTTGCAGACTGCATTAAATCTCTTTTTAGTGCATAGTCAGTCTTATTGTACTCATTTCAATGTCAGTCAAGGTAAATTACTAAGTTATTGACATACTCCTGAAAATGCAAGAATTCTGGTGTTCAGTTCTTGCTACAAGCAATTTGATCGCTTTTTATTCCTTTTATTTTAGGCATAAAATTGGACCTTAAACTTGCAGCAGACAGGATAAAAATGCTTATCTCTCTCAAACCAAGAGGTAGAAAGCAGGCTTTGAGAGCAGAGACCCCTGACTCATAGTTATACCCTTAGGACCAAAGATAACCCCTCACCCAACCCCATCTCCCCCACTGCCCCATCCACTTAACTGTGCAAGACAGATTAGTTCAGTGAATGCACCCACTACCTGAATGGAAAAAGTATAGGTCAGGAGAAAACAGCTGGGTTTGTTTATTCTAAACCTCACTCACCAGAAACAGCAAGCTTGGCTTCTCGACTAGCAGCACCCCTCTGAAGAATTGACATCAGAAGTCGGGGGCATAGGTTATGGGGAGGTCAAGGCATTTGAGACCCAGAAGGGCTTTAACCATCTTCCTATAAGGTATCTTTCAAACTGGGTGACTGTGGAAGCCTCAGACTTTCAGAAGGGCAGTGCAGGAGCTCCGGAGGTAGTGATGTTTGAACTGGGTAAGATTCAAGCTGCTTGGAGAGGCCATTCACAGCTTTCATCTGTGTTACATGTTGATGTCCTGATTAATAACCTTATTTTGAAAAGTTCTTCAAAAATGTTGGGAAACCTCTGAGACTGCTTTCTTTGTTGGTTAAGGGAACTGAGGCTGAGAGAGATGACTTGATTTGAGAAATTTTAGTAGAAGGGTTGAAAATGTACTTGTCTTCCCAGACCACAGTGTGGCTTGAACACCCAAAGGAAGTTTGCATTGTATACCTATTCTGCCCCTCTCGGTGAGGTTGACAGTCAAGGATTCACAGTGGTGTGGCTTTGCAATTGGAAACGTCAAGATTTGAAGAAATCAGAGTTTTGTCATTTGGTTCCTGTTTATCATTTCTGTTAGGCTGGATTTTTTTCCCTCAATACAGAGGCCTGGGGTTGCCTGATAGATAGGTCTCATGTCTGTTAGATGCATTAAGTCCTGTCTGTGACAGCCAGCAGCAGAGCTGAGGGCATGACAGTAAAGAGTGCCTGCAGGAGCCCTGGACTTAGGACTGGGAAAAGAAGTCATTGAACAGGGTGGTGGTCTCCTTGCTTCCTCACCTCCCTCCCTTCAAACTTCTGCAAATTGACTTCCCAGCCTGGGCTGGGGACTTCCCGGGCCTGCAGAGTCGGGGCTAGCGGTCTGCAAATTGATTTGTCCACCAAGCGTGGCCTGGAGACCTTACACATAATAACCTGGTGCACATCTGCTCCAGTTTTTAATATACAGAGGTGATGGCATTGTGATAAGTAAAACATGCACTCAGCCAGGGCTATTGAATTCAGACCAGCTTTTTGCCTTTGCATGGTCCTTTATCCACTGATTCTAAAATTCAAGTGACTCTATGGGGGCTCTCTGGTAGTATCTAGACAAAATCATGTAGTATTTCCTACGTAGGTATGAAACCTGCATGCTGATGGGTAGTTCAAAGTTGAAACCAAGTAGACATGGGCACATTTTGCTAGAGGAATCCCAAGTTTGCCCAGATATTTAAATCCAGCATTAGACATCAGAGAGGATGAGGATTTTCTTTAGCTTCAAATAACTGAAGGCTGGCAAGCAGCAAAACATAGGGCCCCACAAGACCGCTGTCCTCCGAGGGTAAAGGGAGGCATTTAGTGCCTTTCCTTCCTCCTCGGGCCATTGGCTAAAAACTCAGTAATGTCAAAATCTGTTTTTGGTATTGAAGGGCAAGGGGTGAATGAATTTGGATGATTTATAGATTCTCTGGAGACTGTTGCATGTGCTACACGTGTTCTTCATATGACCTTGATATTTTAATATTCTATAGCTTGTTTGGCTGCTCAACCCACTTCTCTCCTTGAACAGCTTAAGTCACTGCTGGGGAACAGGTGCAGCGGTCAAAGGTCAACAGACTTTAAGTAGTTAGATGTGTCAATATTTCAGCATATCTGGTGGTAAAATTCAAATAGGGCATTTAAGTGAAAAATAAATGGAAAGGAACAATAATAAAAACATCCTTTATACCCATTCAACACTAGAAATAGGTTATTCTTTCATTGTTTTAGGATTATATTCTTAAAGACTTAGAAGGGAGATTAAGAGGAATTTGCTATAGCAAGCAGTTCTTAAAATGTAATTGCAAAAGCAGTTGATGACTGTGCCCACACTTATGTTTTCAAATCACATCTAATGGAGCCATAATGTAATATGAGAAAATAACCTTATGAGGGGTCAGGGGGTTGAGCTTCTCTAGGAATTTTATGTAATATGCTGGGTCTTAATTACTTCATAATGACTGACAATTTTTAGAGGCTTAGACTAAAGGTTTCTTTTTTTTTTCTAAGTTACATTAAAAATAAATATCTGGGTCAATTACTGGCCCATCCATCTGCCAAGTGAAAAATGCAACAAGAGGGAAAAATATGGTCACTCATCATGGGAGTGAGGCACCCAGACGTGAGCAGAGAGGCTTGGGAAGAGGTCACTGTTGTTTGCTGGGGCTGTGCCTCCGATCTGGTGGGGTCTCTTCAGCCTGGGAGTCATTTACAAACCACCGAGGCCCCTCAACTGCAGGAGAAAGCTTTGCTTAATAAATCCTGGCCTCTGATGCGTGGAATTGTGAAGTCTCTCAGGGAGTGCCGAGGAACAGAACTGATTTCAGTGTCTTCCTTCTTTGAAAATGGGAGCTAGCATCACATCTCTGGCTGGAGCATTCTCATGAGAGTGATAACCTACCCACAACGTGTTTTGAACCCCCTTTTATTTATAGTTGTTGCTTTCCTCTTTGTTCCTCGATGTTTCCTCTTCCTCCTGCTCCTCCTCTCCCCTCTATTTCTTCTTTCCTCTAGTTATGGATAAGTTGGTTTTTCCACTCTGGTTTATTGTTACAAGGCTTAAAAGAAGTCACAGAAACTGGTGACTTAGCACATGGTACACATCTTAGGTTTAGAAGAACAGTTGAAAACATAATGCTCTCACTGGGTATTACAATAGCAGTTTCTATCCATGGCCAGTTTGTAATCCACAGCTCATTCCACCTGCTGATCTCTGTCACAGGCCCGTAGATAGAGCAGCATCAGTGCTCCCCCCTTACAAAAGTGCTGGGGGTCAGGGACACTTAGAAAGTTGCTCATTGTGCCACCTGGCTCATTAGAGGTTTTGACAATCCCTGCTGGTGGGACCGAAAATAAAACAGAGTTTACATTTAAGACTGTTTCCTTTTAAGCCTTTTCTTCATTCATTTCCAATAAATGCATTTTCACATGTCTTTCTTGAGCATTTTAGGATAATTTAAAAACATTAAGCTGTGCTAGAGTTGTGAAAATAGCTTATAAAAAATAAGCCAGAAGTCAGGAACTGTTTAGATGGATGTGATCTGCACATGGGATTTTCTTTTCTTTAGCTGGATGGACTTTAGAGGTCATCTATTCCAGTGGCTTTTTTGAAACTTTTATTAGGCATTAGAATTTTTTCTTCGGACAAAAATTTTGCACAGACGTCTATTAAAACAGTGTCCAAGATGCTCTGATTTGGAGAGGCGGCTCCCCCACCACTGTCCTCAATATTCTGGCCATAGGGTGCCTCCTCAAAACCCCCCAGGAGCTTAGTCTGTAAAGCAGTTGAGGATAAGGGCCAAGTTCACTCTGGGCTGAAAGACACAGTAAAATGAGAAGGTCTTCCACACCTCGCTCATTACTAGTCAGTTTCAAGGGTGTACTTTGGATGCTGACAGAAACCCACAGGACTGTTGAGGAGGCTGTGCAGAGAGAAGGGGTCTTTTAATTCTCTGCCTCATTAGAGGTGCACCCTGGCAGGCTAGGAGCCCCGGACAGAGATGTTTCTGTACAGGCTCTAGGTCTTGCAGCAAGGTCCCATAGCATCCTGTTCTCCCAATGACTGGTGCTCCTTCCATTTTCAATTTCAGCCTGACTTCCTGAGTGTATTTAATATAAAGCTGTCCCTTCCCCCTCTGTCCCAGCAGGTAAGGAGCTGATGGCCACTGTCATGACAGTGCCCCTGTCAGCAGACCTGCTTGACTCTGGAAGGATGGATTGGCAAAAAGCCATAGGTGCCTGAACTTGTATGTCTTTGTGCACAAGAAAAAATAATCTGTCACCTTGTTTAAGGCGTGTTCAGTTGCATTTGATAGTTTGAAAATGCTCTGGGAAAATGTCATCCATCTGCATTTGAGAGTCAGGTAGTAAAATGGTGAAATCACATACCAGGGGCTCGAGTCGGGGTGGGCATTAGGAGGATGCTGGTTTCTTTTTAAAAAAGAATTTTAATTTTTTAATCTAATAAACTTTTTTTTTAAGAGCAGTTTTAGGTTCACAGTAAAACTGAGCAGAAAGTAAAGAGAATAACCACCCCCGCCACCATCCCACCATCAACATCCCCACCAGAGTGGTGCATTTGTTACACTCACGCGATTCTCCTGCGTCAGCTTCTGGAATAGCTGGGATTACAGGCACCTGCCATCACGCCTGGCTGATTTTTTGTCTTTTTAGTAAAGATGGGGTTTCACCATGTTGGTCAGGCTGGTCTCGAACTCCTAATCTCGGGTGATTCATTTACTTTCAGTTACGGCACCTCAGTGGCCTCCCATTTGAGTACAGAGGTTAAGTAAGTGCAATTGTCTCTCAATCTTTGGACTAATTGCCCAAGGCTTTGATGAGGAGCAGAGTCTCATTTAGAAGGGGACTTGCCTTGGTCCAAGAATTCATTCTTACCTAGGATGTAATTTTATTTTTCTGGCAGGACATGCTTGATGCCACTGATCTCTTCAGCCAGACCAGTTCAGCAGAGAGGTGAACACCAGCATGTCTTGTTAAGAAGCAGGAGATTAGATCATGAGATTGCCACACACACATGCTGATGGCCTTTCCATATGAACTTGGAGATAGAAAATAATGGCTAATATGTTTTAGTGCTTTCTAAGTGCCCAGCATAATTCTAAATTCTTTACATGTGACAACTTCTTCAGTATTCTTAACAGCTAGATAGGGAGGGGATAGGCTAGTGTGCCTGCTTTTAAAATGAACAAATCCAGGCATAGGGAGATTATCTGACTTGTCTAAACCCCCATAATTAGTAAGTGGCAGAGCCAGAATGGACGCAGGGACAGTCTATGTCAAGAGTCCTTGCTTTGAACTTCTATGCTGTATCTCTCTCAAAAAGAATGAGAAAGTACAAGTCGCTACCATGAAAAGAACTCCATTGTCAGTGAGACATACAACACCCTCCCAAAGTGAGAAAGACAAAACACTCCACTAAGACTCACTGGCTAATTGGGAAGCAGGACCTGTAATTACGTAAAGGCTCCCGTCCTACTAGATGAGATTTTCCTTGAGGGTAGGGACGGTGTCTTTTCATCTCCCTACTCTGGTGACACCTGGAGCAGGCCCTGCTCTCACTAGGCTCCTGATCAATGCCAACTGAATAGAGTAGTCAGGTCCCCTCATGCGTTAAATAAGACTGTGCCTGAGGATCCCATTGGAAAGTCTTGAAAGGCCCGGGGACTCTTGTAAGCCCTGCACGATGCTTCCTGATCATATGAAGAGTCAGAAAATACCACGAGAAAAGTCTAAAGTCTCTTCTAAGTTCTGAACAATAGCTTTCTCCTCCCACGTGGCAACTCTTCCCGGTGGTTTAAAGATCAGAGGACTCGGTGAAACCAGGTTTTCCCCCATATTGTTCAGCAGAGGGCTTCGTCAGTTATTTAAGACCTTTTTAAGAAGCACATATACGGCTGGGCGGGGTGGCTCTGGGTGCCTGTAATCCCAGCACTTTGGGAGGCCAAGGTGGGCAGATCACTTGAGGTCAGGAGTCCGAGACCAGCCTGGCCCACATGGCGAAACCCCATCTCTACTAAAATTCAAAAAGTAGCCAGGCGTGGTGATACACGTCTCTAATCCCAGCTACTTGGGAGGCTGAGGCAGGAGAATCACTTGAACCTGGAAGGTGGATGTTGGTGGTGGAAGTCAGGTGGTAAAGGACATTCTTCGTGGTGAAGTCAGATGTGTAGGGACCCATGGCTTTCTCCCATCTCGAGTCATCTGCTTCTCTCTCCCTGCTCCCGTGGGCTGGGGGTGGGATTCCTAAGTCTCTTTTCCTCCCTTTCCCTATTTCCATTTCTTTTGAGTACTTACTAGGTGAAAAGTATTTGTCTGGACATTTGGGAAAGTTCAGAAGGTAATGTGTTGATATTCCATTCCAGGAAGGTAGACTGTCCTAGGGAACCCAGGACTAGGGGAAAGCCATCTGGGCGTGCGGGGGAGAGATTCAGCTGTGCTTTCCACCCTCTCCCGGACCTCAGCTTCCCTGCACCTGGTTTTGTCTGTATGCTGGGACCACTGCTCTTCTCGGCTTCATTCATGGCAGTTGGTGCCACCCAGCTTGCCGGTGTTCCTGACTAGGGTTCTGCCCACCTCACCCCAAGTATAGGCCCTCCCTGATGGGCGTTATGCCTTTCACAGTTCTGATTTGACACATGTCCTCTGAGGACCTCAGCACAGATGCTCCAGAGAGGAGGCCTGGACCTGTGTCCTTGAGAACGCATTAGATGGAGCAGTTCCAGGAAAGAAAACACAACCAAGTCATTTCGGTTTGATGGGAGATAAACACTGCAAGATGAAATGGATTCACAATAACAGTATGATCTGTCAGAAGAAGTGGCAAAGAAAGGGAGGAAATGAGTGGCTGTGTGTGAGTGAGCCACTGATACAGGAGGCTTTCCCTGCCATTTGGACCAGTTGCAGCAGAATAAAAGCTCCACTCTGGATGAGGGATCTCACATGACAAGTATGGAAGAGCTGTTTAATGCTACCATGCGTGACCAGTGACAAGGGCATGGAAAATGGAGTGAGAAAGCTGCAGGAACCCGAGATGGACAGAACAGGGAAGGAACAAAGTTTCCATAGAGGAGACAGAGAGAGGAGGAGGAAGCGGGGGACAGGACACCCCATGACTCTAGTGGCACACATACACAAGTGAGGCAGCATGCAGTCAACAGGCACAGATGGACTGGTCACGTAGCCTGGAGTTAGGGCAACAGATGGCCAAGTCATTGCATAAATTGACTACCCAGGGACCACAAATGCCTGCTGGGAAATCCAAGGACGTATCAGGTTAACCCAGTGACAGTATACCTGGGCAGAGGTAGACACAGGTGCCCCTGATCTGAAGGGAAAGTGAACAGCAGTTTGCACTGGTGGGGAAAAAAAATCAAATGAGATTCAATAAGGAAGGAAATTTCATTGTACGTGTGTGTGCACATACACGCATATGTGTGTGTGCATTAAATGTGTTTTGTTAGAGGACTTATCTTCAATTCATCTTTGTAAGACCTGACTTTAATTATGTCACTTCTGAATGTTGTGATCGTATGACATTCAGAGCAGTGGGAGAGGAAAATAACATTTGGATATTTTTATATATATTGAAAATACATCTGAAATAAATATTTCTAAACACTGAATTTTTCATCTAAGCACAGTGAAAAATAATAACTTTCTTGGAAATAGTTACTTGTAAAATATTGTTCAGCTTTTAGAATGAGTGTAAGATACAAGATGGAGTTGTCATTTAAAAACCAAATAGTATAAAACTAAAACGAAAATAACTCTTGCTTGATATGTTTAGGTTGCTGTAATAGTGTACCACAAAAAACATTGTAGTCTGCTGTGATGGGATTGATTACCTTTTTATTTGATGGTAAAAATGGATGAATTGTGTCTTTAAGTTGCTATTTACTTAACATTTTAATATACTTTTAGTATAGGTACACATTTGTGTTATTTTTTTTTTAAGTTTTTAAAAATTAATCAATTATTTGAAAGTCACCATGCTAGGGAGGAGATACAGCGGTGAACAGGTTAAAATAGTTTTTGTCTTCATGAAGGGCATATAATCTATTACTTAAAAAAAATAGACTTTAAGGCCAGATGTGGTGGGTCATGCCTATAATTCCAGCATTTTGGGAGGGTAACGTTGGAGGATCGCTTGAGGCCAGGAGTTTGAGACCAGGTTGGGCAAGAAAGCAAGACATTCATTTCTACAAAAACTTTTTTTTAAAAGACTAATTTTTAGAGCAATTTTTGGCTTAAGCAGAAAAAGCAAGCAGGAAGTACACAGAGTTCCCATATTACCACCTGCCACACACACACACACGTTTTCCCAGCTATTAACAAATGCTGTTGGTGGGCCAGTATTGATACGTTATTATTAACTAAGGTTCATAGTTTACATTAGTGTTCACTCTTGGTGTTGTACATTCTGTAGGTCTGACAATTGTATGATACGTGTATGTACCATTATAAAATCGTGCAGAATAGTTGACTGCCCTAAAAGCTCCCTGTGCTCCACCTGTTCATCTCTCCACCCCTACAAACCCCCTGGCCACCACTAGCTTTTTCCCGTTGATAGTTCTGCCTTTTCCAGAATGTCATGCAGTTGTGTGACTCCAGAATGGGCGGAAGCATATAGTAAGTAGCATCTTTAGATAGGCCTTTTTCACTTAGCAATATGTAATTAAGGGTGCTCCATGTCTTTCTGGGGCTTGATGGCTCGTGTCTTTTTATCACTGAGTAATAATCTACTGTTGGGAGGAATCATTGGTTTTTTATTCACCTATTGAAATAATCGCAGTTGCTTCCAGTTTTTGGCAATTATGAACAAAGCTGCTCTTAACATTTGTGCACAGGTTTTTATACGCACATAAGTTTTTAACTCATTTGGACAAATATTTAAGAATGTGATTGTTGGATCATGTGGTAAGAGTATGTTTAGCTTTGCAATAAACTGCCAAACTGTCTTCCAAAATGGCTGTACCATTTTGCTACCAGCAATGAGTGAGAGTTCCCGTTACTTTACGTCCTTGCCAGCATTTGGTGGTATTGGTGTTTTGGATTTTGGCCATTCTAATAGGTGTGTAGTGGTATCTCCTTACTGTTTTAATTTGCGATTCCTTAGTGACATATGATGTGGAACATCGTTTCTTACGCTTATTTGCTATTTTTATATCTTGCTTGGTGAAGTGTCTATTCAGATCTTTTGCCCATTTTTTATTTGGGTTGTTGTTTTCTTATTGTTGAGATTTAAGACTGTTTTGTCCTTTATCAGATACGTGACTTGAGAATGTGCCCTCCCACTCTGTGGCTTGTCTTTCCGTTGTCTGAATAGCTTGTTTCACCAGGCATTGTTACTTGTTAACAGTCTTCATCACCTGTAGACAGGCAGTAGCCTTGTTCTCAGACCCCACTGCTTCACTAACCGCCATTCATTCTATTAAAAGACTTGGGTTCTGCCATGATAGGAGAAGAAGCTGCGTCATCCCAGGAAGATGTTTATGCACGTTCAGATATTTATGCACTGGTGGACCAGAGTGGTTCTGGGAAGGTGAATTGCAGGCCTTCACAGCAGGCTCTGTTAGTCCTGATATTCTCCTAGAAAGTCAGTTTGGACTGTTGCAGTCCTGAATCCTGGCACTCACACCTTTTTTATTCACTTGCTTCTGTTGATGCTGGGTTATACTTATGGTTTTGGCCTCTCATTTTTTGTTGTGTTGGTCATTTTGTGCTTCTGATGACTTTAGTAGATGGTCCCTTGACTTCATGCGAGTTCTGTTACCTGGCTGTGGTAATCCACTGTCCCACACAGGTGCTCATTGTCCTTGTGTACGGGCTTGGGCTTTGCCAGTGACAGTTTATTCTGACCCCAGCCTGAGGCTTACTATCTAGGAAAAGTACCATGTTTTCAGATTATAAAACCAGCATTAGGTTGGGTGTTTCTCACTTTAATGGCTAAACTCAAAATCTTTATGACTGTCACCCCCAAACTAACTTACCTTGCTGACTTTCCCATTTCTCCTTAGTGGCCTTACCACTCTCCCAGTAACTCAGACTCTCTGTCACAGAGCCATCTTTGACTTATCCTTCATCACCTGTAGACAGGCAGTAGTCTTGTTCTCAGATCCGAGTGCTTCTGTGCCCACCATTCATTCTATTAAAGGATGGGGTTCTACCATGATAGGAAAAAAAGCTGCATCATCCCAGGAAGTTATTTATGCGTGTTCAGGCATTAGGTTAATGCCATATACATTTTTTAATGAAAACCCTGCGTCTTCCTATATGACAGCCTCTAAGAGGCTTTGTAGTGCTAAAATCTGGAATGATTCTTTGGCTTTGTTTTTAAACACTGAAAGACTTCTTGAGCCTTCTGTCTTTTTTATTCCCACTGCCAC